AATGTCTCAACTAATAAAGCATAATAAAAAAAACTAGTAATAAAGCATAACCGTATATTAGTGAACTGTAATCCTTCCCACTGTTATTGAATTTGTATTTTAACTGCTTTCATTTCAATTTGTGTTCCAATTCTGATAGCTTACTTTCACTATAGTAACTTTCTATAAGGAAGGATAAAAGGAAAGTTCAATTAAAAGAAATTGTTTAATTTACAACAATAAAAGATTACTGTTACTATAGAAGTAACAGTGAATTCTAGGTAATGGATGCATGTGGCCTACAGAAGACAATGTCTGAGCAACCATCTTTGGTTTCTGCTTTTTTCTATAAATTAAAAAAAAAGAAAAAAAAAAAAAAAAAAAAAGAAAAAAAAAAAAGAAAAAAAAAATCATGGAAATCAGATAAAAGAAAAGAATACATTCAAACAGTTACAGATATAGCAGAATAATTAGTTGTCCTCAAATCCTCACGGTCAGCCTGAGGGAACAAGGCAACCCTCACAAATTCAGACCCAGAGAAAAAAACAAAAAAAAAACAGGAATAGTCAGTAGAAGGAAAGAAAGCACAACAATATTGCTGTAGTTAATTAGATGACAAACCTTTTGAGGTCCAAGGCCATGATTTAATCTCATATTTTTGCTCAACTTAGTCAACACAAACATGAACTCAGTTCTCATGATGGCTGCCAGAAGTAAGGGATGTCAGGTAGTATCTACACATACTTTGTAGTAACTTATTTCTCATCCAGACACTTAAATATGCCTGCAAAACTGCAAAATGCAAAAATATATCAGCCACTTTCACCTAGGCAAAATGTAAAATTAAGTAGCAACTACAGAGAGGTTAATGAAAAGATTTTTTTGGCCCACCATAAAATCTGTGAGGAATATGAGTGATGAAAAGTTCCCTTATGTAGCACAATTTACATCTAAAATAATCATAAATGGAAAAAGATTGAATTTTATTTTTTTTTAAATTTAAAACACAAATGAACATAATTTTCTAATGAACTGTATTGACTTCCCAATGAAATGTGACATAAATCCAGAAACCCCACAAAATGAAAATTAGCACAAGTAATAGCTAAAGACAGCAGAAAAGGAACCAACTTAAAAAAAAAGTAAACTCTGCATATGGGGAAAAAAATCAAGAGACATTTGGAAGAATTACAAAACATAATTTTTGTACTGTTTGGAAAGAACTAGAGTTAAAGATTTATGTCTTGACTGTGAAAGAATCACTATTATATTCAGAACAACATCCTCCATTTTTAGTGATGAATACAATAAAACTACCAATGTATTTTGGAATAAAATAAAAATAAAAATAATTAATTAGAATGACCTGCTATAATAAAAAATAAAAAAATTAAGTTAAGTGTTATATTTGCTCCAAACTTTGGGAGAAAATAAATTCCTCTTGGTGTCAAAATGCTGTGCATTCTAATAAGCAGTAAGGGTATATCTATCAATGCTTGTTCCTTGATTAGGTACTGATCACATAACACATATGTTCTAGAAACTTTGATGCTTTAACAAATATATGGTCTACAAAGCACAGTGTTAAATATATGAGAAAAATAACTACAAATACCTATATATTGAAAAATTTCAATATAGGAAACAAGTCATAATCAACATTAATTTGTGAGTTTGGACATTAAAATTAAATACAGCATATCAATATTTTTTGTGGATACTATAGCTGAAATACATAATTGTTCATTACACATCCAAATGACTTTTCAGAACATGAGAATGTAATAAATCAACTGAGACAGAAATTATCCTACAGTGTGTGATACAAAGGTTGTACCTACAAATTATAAGAACACTGTGTCGCATTTTTTACAGTAGTTTGTGAGCAATTCAAAGGCTCCTTTAGCTTTATGTGTTTTTTTCTTGCTATCCATTTTCATGTTTTACCTTCATAACCTAATTACCAGATTGGTTCCTGTTCATAATTCTTGCTGAATATAAGTCACAGCTATATTTATAAACTGTATAAGGCAACACTACACATCATTGCTTTCAATCAATATAACCTTTTGTAAAAAACTCTTCAGAACTTTCTCTATACCTAAATCCATCAACTGCAGTATTAAAAATTGGCTTGTGGCCAGTCATGTGAGTTTGTTGGCATGACTGCAGTTTCTCATTTGCACCTGGCTCATTTGATACTTCAACCAAAACAGGTTTCCCTTCATTTTAACTGTCTGCTTTTATCATGACACCAAACCAAAACTACTATCCGAGACAGACAAGCTCCCTCTGCTGGCACAGTGCCATCCGCATGATTTCAAGCCTTCCATGATCAAAGGCTTTATTTGATGTTACACTAACATCAGTAATTAATGATATCAATATCTCAAAAGAATACAAACTTATGCAGTGATTGGACACATTTTTCTCAAATTATAAAAAAAGATTATAAAAAAAAAAAAAAATCCACTCTATTACAATCCCTTACTCAAATACTGAATATTTACAAGGCTTAAAC